TACCAATTTCATGCAAATCTTTGGACTTGTTAAATTGTAAAGAAGCAGATATAGCTTGAAGTGCTCACATTGCATCTCAAAATGTGAGGACCTTATGCAAACCATAAATAGGCAACACACCATTTCTCCTCTGTACAATGGACACCAGTAATGCTTACATAGCAGTGAGTAAGATGGCTGGTACCAGGGCCAGATGTTTGGTGCCAGAAAATCAGATGCTAGTTGGCTAAAGGACAAAAATGTTTAGGGTTAGTATTTTTAATAGACTTTTTGGTCAGTCGTGAGGCTTGAACTCAGGGCCTGGGTATAGTCTCTGAGCTCTTTCACTCAAGGCTAGCACTCGACCACTTTGAGCCACAGCATCACTTCTGGTTTTCCGATGGTTCATTGGCGATAAGAGTCTCATGGCCTTGCCTGCCTGGGCAGGCTTTGAACCATGATCCTCAGATCTCAGCCTCCTGAGTGGCTAGGATTACAGGAGTGAGCCACCAGTGCCCAGCAGATATATTTTTATAATTATCTTCTCACTATGTATACAAACATATACAACCAAACCACAAAGAAGGTAAATGTAGAGTTGATGGAAATGTTAATTACCTTCATTTTTGTGGCATTTCATGTTGTATGATCCACAATACTGATCTAAACAATACGTTTTAACCTCATATATATAATTTTTATGTTAATGATATATTAAATAATGTTAAGTAAAAGCAAGACATTAATAGAGGTTTTGAAACTGAGCATCCTTTGAAGAGGAAACAGTGATGCTTCCTTGCCACTGAGATTTATCCCTGTGACATGAAAGGCAGCGCAACACTGGAATTTAAGCCTTGGTGCCACTGATTCTAAGAAGTACAACTCTCATTCCTCATTCTCCCTGGAAAACATTCCTGAGCTATTGACTGTGGCTTGCGAAGTTAACTCTTAGTCCTCTAAGGCAGCAATGAAAAATAAACATACCTCATCATTGCTACCGCTGCCACCAGATGAGACACCAGAAGGAAGGCTGGACAAGACTTTAATGATGCAGCCCTCGTGGTTATATGCAGGGGCAAAGGTGCTCGGTCTCATCCCAGTGACAGATTTCAGATTCAATAAGGAATCACAGCCACTGAATTTACATAGTAGACTGAGAAGAACTTTTTGTGCCTTAGGGATCAATATTTTACTCAGCCACTCCATTCTCTTTAGGGATTCTACATCCTTCCTATTTGAGCCAACATTAAATTCCCTTCTCCCCATTGACTTGGTCCCTGCAGGGAAATCTGTGGTTTTAGACCTTGGCCTCTTCATTGTCGCATCATTAATAGTACAACAGAGGCCACCTCCATACTTCCTTCCTTACCAGAAAAAAATCAAGCAGTGTTGCAACTCAGTTCTGGTTATCTTTTGCCTGAGGTGAGTTGTAGATAATCCTGGAATGACTTTTATTGGGTTGCATTCCTAAAGGGAATTGTTTAACAGGCACTGGAAACTTCTAATTGGGAATCTTTCAGAGTTCTTCAGGGTAACATTTCAGGGATGAGGTCAGCAACTTCTGACCTCCTCACAGAAAAGAGTGAGAGCAGAAATAGAGCTGGAGGGTCTGTGCTTGATGCTCCTCCTCCATTTTCTAACTATAGTATCTTGGACAAGTGATGTTCACATGGTACCCTATAAATACATATGTATCTGATAGAATAAATTTAAATTTTAGAAGGGACAAGATAAAATGAATTACCACAAGAAGTGAGATTTATTCCTAAACTTCAAAGATATTTAACATACAAAAATAAACAATACAATATGTATGTGAGGCCAAGGACCAGAGAAATCATCCTATTTGTTGTATGGATAAATGTTTTCAAAACAAATGTGTGGGGCTAGACAAGAGACCTTTGGAAGAAACTCAATACTTCCTATAACTTATCTTCAGGTGGAAATGCTTACAGGACCATGAAGTGTTACACAAGTGGTCTAACAATATCTGAATAGGATCAGTTAAAACCCCTGAAATTCTAAGAGGGAATGGCCCAGAGAGAGTGGGCTTAACAACTTGATTCAAAAGATTGTATTGAAAATAGTTCTTGAGCCAATCGTAAGTCTGAGTGAAGCAGGCATCTAAAGGGGGACCTGACAAGGTGGGGGAGGGAAGGAAGATATCCCTGAGTAGAAAGAGTGCAACATTTCATTCGCACGGGTCACCAGTCTGGAGATGAAGGATGATTTCTGGCATGGAATACAGCTAATAACAATTCCGTGCTTCCTGAATATTACCCTTTAGGTTCCTTGAGCAAGCTGAAAGAAACACCAATGGTGTCTAAATACCAAAAGGCGGACCCATGTCAGGAGAGGCTTTTGCTGGCCATGGACTGTGTCAGCATCACTGGCTGCATGCCCCAACCCTGCTGGGCACACTGGGCATGTGCTGCTCCAATGACCTGCCCCAAATGCTGTCCCCATCTCTGTTGACACATGACTTGAGAAGAATCAAGACAAAACAAGAACAAGGACACAGGATGACCCATTGCAACAATGATCCTCACAAGACACTATGTTGGAAATGAGCTTTACAGCTTGTGGGGGGGGGGGGGAGGTGGGGAAGGAAAGGAATAGTAGGAGGAAAACAAAGGAGGTGGGTAACAATGTTCAACAAGAAATGTACTCATTACCTTACTCATGTAACTGTAACTCTTCTGTACAGCATCTTTACAATAAAATAAATTAAAAAACAATAATGTCAGACTCCATCTATATAAAATTCTAGGAAATATAATTAATACATAATGACAGGAAGCAGATCAGTGTTTGCCTTGGGTTGGGAGAACCATAGAGAAGGAATTACATAGGGCCATGAAAAAGCTTTGGAGATAATAGATGATACTGTGTGCACCGTGCCAAAGCTGTACCCCTAGAGCACGAGCAGGCAACTGCACACCAATTATGCATCAATAAAGTTGGTTTTCTTTGTTTAAAAGCTGCTGCTGCTGCTGATAAACAATCCCCCCCTCCAAAAAAATGTAGCTATATGAATGGCTAAGCAGTATACCTGCCTAGCAAGTGTGAGGCCCTGAATTCAAATCCAATACTACTTAAAAAACACGGGATGAAGGAAATAAAAGGATACAGGTGCAGAACTCAAACCCTTTTTACTTTAGTTTTTCATCAGCCTGTAGGTAGAACACACTCTTGTCACGCTCATTTCTATAAGCAACAATGATAGTTTACTTAGAGAATGTTTACCTTAAGCAAATTCAAGATGCAATGAACAGATTTTCTCTCTGAACCTTCATGAGAAAGACTATTTTCTGTTCTCCGGAAGTTCAAATTTCCCATTATTTTGGAGACATCCCCTTCCTAGGTCATACAAGTGAATCCCAGGACTTATTTCCTGGGTTGATGCTTAGCTGTGAGGATTTCAATAGCATCATAAGCACTATAATTGATTGTTTCTTCTCCTTTTAAGAACTCCAAATAGATACATTGTAAAGTGAAAACCTAAAAGTATCAACCAAATCGGCTCTTAAAACTTTGCCAGACTTCATTTAAAAATAATCTTAAAACAATGAGAACCTAAGTTAAAGAATGTTTATCTTTCCTGAAATTGAAGCTTGTTTTCAAAAGCCGGGTGCAGGTGGCTCACGCCTATAATCCTAGCTACTCAGGAGGCTGAGATCTGAGGATCACCATTCAAAGCCAGCCCTGGCAGGAAAGTCCATGAGACTCTGATCTCCAATAAACCACTAGAAGACTGGAAGTGGCGCTGTGGCTCAAGTGGTAGAGCGCTCGCCTTGAGCTGAAGAGCACAGGGACATTGCCCAAGCCCAGAGTTCAAGCCCCACGACCAAAACTTGTTAGTTGGAAGGTTAGAGATCTGGATACAAATTTCAAAGGACTGCAACTTCTAAATCCTCAATACAGTTCAGTACAGAAGGGCTTCGTGCTTATTAGCTATGTATTTCAGTGTTCTGAAAAGACAGCTGCTGGGCTCCTCTCTTTTAGTCTCTGAATTACAAACATCTGAAAAATGTTTTCCTTTCCTTATTCTTTCTTTCTTCACTGTATGAAAAGCTCCTGACTTGAGCCAATCATCCCCAACTACTCTAGATCCACAGGGCTACCTTCACAACAAAAGGAACCATTCATCTGTTTCTTAAACAGCAACATAAAATCAGCCAAATTCTGAATTTACATGTTACCTAGAAACAAAGTCTACTCAACTTTAAAAATAGTTTTTTTATTTTATACTTGGAATAAAATTAATCAAATATGTCAGAGTAGATGTGAAATAAAGTATTGGTTTAGATTTTTTCCATTAAAAAGATAAGACACTTCAAGGAAATTGTTGATTTCCGTGAACTTCAGTATATTGCCTGGGTAATAAATATGTATGATGATCATTTTGATCTACCTGGTGTGCAAAGGTAAATATGATTATTCCAAAAGAAATGAAGTACATGGAGTTTAGAGCCGTACAGTGAGTTGCATTTGAAAATCCTTTTGGAACCTTATATTCCTTATATGTGAGATATATATCTATATATCTATACCTTATATGTGAAATAATGATATTTAAGGCAGTCATAATCCTTCTGAGTAGAACATGAAAATTCAAGAAACAGATTGTCACATTCATGTTTCCAAAGGAAGTTAATAAGCAGAACAAAAAACCCATATATCTCTTCAATGATAAAAATGTCATCCTCAAATTCAGTTGATCATTTACAGTACAATTTGTCCTTCCTAAAAGTACATATGGCAATGGGAAAAATGACATGTGAAGCATTTCTTAATTTTATTATTGACAGGAAAAAATGTCTAAAAGTGAAATATATACAAATGATGGGGGAAAGAAAAGAGGCTATCAGTCATAAGAACTGAAATGATAGCTAACTATCCCCATGATAAAAAAAAAAAAAAAAACAAAACCAGGGCAGGAACTGATATTTCTTCAACTATTGTAATAAAAATAGACTTTCTGTCTTTCAACTATATACACAGGGAGACACTGTTTCTGATCAAAACTTTTTTCTGCTTAGAGTTTTTCTCAAGGCAACTTTGACATCTTTGTTCCTCAAGCTGTAGATTAAGGGGTTCATCATGGGAACCATGTTGGTGTAAAAGACAGAAGAGATTTTCCCCTCATCCATAGACCCAGAAGACGATGGCTTTAGGTACATAAAGGCACCTGATCCAAAGAACAGAGACACCGCAATGATGTGGGAGCTGCAGGTGCTGAAGGCTTTGGCTCTGCCCTCAGAGGAGCTGATACGGCAGATGCTGGAGAGGATGAAACCATAGGAAATGAGGATGGAGATGCTGGGCACGACAATGTTGATGCCCGCTACGATAAGCACCTCCAGCTCGTTGGCGTGGGTGCTGGTGCAGGAGAGCTGCATCACAGGGAGGATGTCGCAGAAGTAGTGGTTGATGGTGTTTGCACCACAGAAGGTCAGTCTCAGCATGAATCCAGTGTGGGCCGCAGCACCAGACACTGCCATCAAGTAGGAAGCAAGGATGAGGTAGGAGCACACTTTAGGGGACATGGCGCTGTTGTACAGGAGTGGATTGCAGATGGCCACGTAGCGGTCGTAGGCCATTGACATTAACACATAGCACTCAGAAATGACAAAGAAACAGTAAAAGTAGAGTTGGGTCATACACCCCACATAAGAGATAGTATTCTTCTCCAGGATGAAGTTGATCAGCATTTTGGGTGTAAACACAGTAGAATAACAGAGGTCTATGAAGGACAAGTTAAAGAGGAAAAAGTACATGGGGGTGTGAAGGTGTGAATTCAGACCGATTAGAATGATCAACCCCAAATTTCCCAATACAGTGACCATGTATGTTGACAGAAACAGAACGAACAGAGGAAGCTGGAGACCTGGAAGTTCTGTTAGCCCCACCAGAATGAACTCGGTGATGAATGAGCCATTTCTAAAAGCCATTCTTTTATAGGAGTCTGTGGACACAAACTGGGAATCATTACCATCCAACCCTTCTGTCCCTACAGTATCTCTTCTCATGGCAGTAGGTCTTGTCCATTCTAAAACAATGGAATTTTTTTTTTATCATAACTCTTTAATACGGTCTTACTAACTAAACATAGTGGCATGCATAACAACATAGGCTACTGAATAAAGACCAGTGCTGCCACATGCAAACATGTCAGCTCATACACCAAGGAGCAGAGGGAGATAATAGTAAAAAAAAAAAGGGGGAGAAAATAATCAGCCTCCCCTCATCTCATTACTTCTTTTTCCACTTGGTCTACCAGAAAAGCCAGAGTTAGAAGCCCTGCCAGTTTTGTTAGCCTCTATTGCAGGTTAGCCTCTAGTAGAGTGGGAATAAAAATACATGTATATGTAAGAAAGGGTATAGATTATAGGAAAGGTTATTTCACAGAAGCAGAGCCCTAAATCTAGCCCAGGAAGAGTTCTCTCATTGGAGACAGAACTTCCTGAACATTTGTACTCACTGATCTACATAAAGTCTGAACTTGCTCTGCGGTCCTTCCCTTGAACAGATTCTCCTGCAGGTTTTGCTTGAGTCTCAGGATTACACAAAATGAGCAATAGGGGCCATATTGGATCTCTGAAATTTCACTTCAAGGAAAGGAAGTCGTAGATACACACGGCATGTGTAAACTCACCGTCCTCAGGCCAGCAAATACCGTTTCCTTATGCCTGTCACTCTCCTCCACAGGCCTGACTGAAGCTTCTCTAGCCTCAGTTCCACTAACAGGAGGAAGAGGGGGAGATACTTATTCTCTCAAGCGCCCTGGAAGTCTTGATGACTTACAGTCCTATCTTACGCTGAAGATTAACTCCTTTTACATAACCCAGAAAAGGAGTCAACATCATGATCACATTTGCCACATGGTAAGATATAGATTACATGTAACATAATGATATAATGTACTTGGTAATAAACAAGATAAAGCTTGTTAGATACTGGCCCTGGGAGAATAGTTTCTAGGTGGAAAAGGTTATACCCTGGACAACAATCTCTCTTTAGTTCTTGAGGGACACACAGTATTACCAGGTTTACCTATTGCCCTTGGGCTTATACATTCTACAACCCCCAAGACAGAATTGAGAATCTCTCACCTCCATATCTCCAAATCTGATGGGAAAAGCATTGCACAGCTTCTTTCTCCCACCTCCTAAATGGAAACACCACATGCTTCCCATTTTCTTCATCTGCAATTTCCTAAGAATTATACTAGTTACATTGAATTGCCTCTCCTAGAATATCCACTTTAAAGAATTCCTTTTTCACTCCTAGTTTTTTAAAAATATCTCAACAATAAATGGAAATTTCCATGGTGGATTCTCCTGAGAGTTTACATGTAACAATTAATACGGGAAGTTAAGTAAACTTTCTGCTTCTGGTTCACAATTTCTAAAACACATGCAGTTACTACCAGCACATCTTTATTGACAGGTGACAATTAAGCTATGAGTCAAATGTCTGGAACAGTGACAATCATATTTCTTGAAGCACTGACTACATAAGTGTGTCATGTTTAAGAGGCCAGCAGGATAATAAGGTATAAACTTCAAGTAACTTAAAAAAAAGAACTGTACAAGGAATGCAAATGATTAGAAGTCATTGTGGTAATACCTCAGGAGAGAAAACACCTGATGTGAGTTGCTGCCCTTCACATGAGGAAATGAAGACCATTATCACTGAAGATGATCTCTACGTGGCCATCTGCAATGCCCTCTGTACAATTCTGCCATGTCTCCAAAAAGTGTGCTCCTGCCTTGTACTTGGTTCCTGGTAGTGGCTTTGTTTTGTGCCATGGCTCACACTGGACACATTCTGAGACTTTCTGTGATATAAACACCATTCACCACTTTTTCTATGATCTCCTTCCTTTGCTACAGCTCTCTTGTACCAACACCTATGTCAATCAGATAGAGATTTTCATTGTAGAGGCAAAGACATCATTGTACCCAGTCTTGTTATCTCTATCTCTTAAGTTTTTATTCTTTCCAGCATCCTCAAAATAAAGTCTACTGAGGGCAGATCCAAAGCTGCCAGCACCTGCAGCTCCCACATCATTGCTGTGTCTCTGTTCTTTGGATCAGGTGCCTTTATATATCTCAGACCCTCCTCAGCTGGGTCCATGGATGAATCAAAAATCTCCTCTGTGTTTTATACCACTGTGTCACCCATGATGAACCCCTTAATCTGCAGCTTGAGGAACAGAGATGGCAAACTTGACCAGGAGAAAGCTTTGACTGAAATAAAATCACTCTCTGACTGTAATTACAGTAATGAGCGACTCTTGCTCAATTAATGTGTTAAAAATTCTTAATCTGATGCTGTCTATTTTTTCTAAAATAACTAAAAATATATGCACTTATTTTTTCACATTCCGTACTTCTCATTCTAAGTTTAGGTACTGTTTAATAAAAGTGGTTTTCTGGGTCATTTGCAATATCTAGTATATGTCTGAGTCAAGCAGAAAAGGTCAAATAAGGTGATGTTAGGGAAATGAACTCTAAGATATGTATTCAAATGTTTTTTTTTTCTTTCATGCGATTGTTTCTAACACATTTATAAGATTATTTCTTTGTTGCTTTGTATGTCCTTCCCCCACAGTATAACTCCTGCTTTCACTGTATTTGATGTCGGTATAATTTGTGGAGGGGAAGGGGAAAAACAAATCGTTTAAATAGGGATACAGGTGGACCCATTGCAACAATGAGATGTACAAGTTGTTATGTAGAAAAATGAACTTTACAACTTTGGTGCGGGGGGGAGGGGTAGCGGGAAGGACTAGGTGGGGGGACGCAGGGGGAGGATGGGAAGGGGAAACAAAGGAGGAGACTACAATGCTTGATAAGAAATGTACTCATTATCTTGCCCATGTAATTGTAACCCCTCTGTACAGTATTTTCCAATAAAAAAGTGGTTTTCTGGCTTATTTGCACACGCACACACACACTCATGCACACGCACACACACACACACACACACACACACACACTCTTGATTTATAGTTTAAAGCAATCACTTGGTCGCCATCCAGTCCTCCAATGTCAACATCCTTGATTTTACCAACTGGGATTTACTTACATCAAGGACTTGACCATGGTTATTGTTCCTTTGTCTTTCACATGAAGTTATTTTCATAAATTTTTGTTATTATTTAAGAAAATACACTCAAATAGAAAATAATATTTATGGGGCTGGGAAGGTGGCTCAGTGGTAGAGCGCTTGCCTTGCATGCCTGAGGCCCTGGGTTCAATTCCTCAGCACCACATAAGCAAAAAGAAAAAAGCCAGAAGTGGCGCTGTGGCTCAAGGGGTAGAGCGCTAGCCTTGAGCTGAAGAGCTGAGGGACAGCGCCCAGGCCCAGAGTTCAGGCTCCACAACCAGGGTTGGGTCTACTCCTGTGGGTTTCGTTTCTATAAAAGTTAACATGAGTGGATAATACCCAATCACTTTTCTTTAACCACAAAACTCAAAGAAAGTCTCATTTCATATGAAATACAGCATTCTTGAAAACCTAGCTCCGTGCTTTTAGTCTTTTTTGAAAAGCAAGCTATAGTGTGCTGTGTATTTACACTGACTTGAGTCACTTGCTGCATGAGGAGTCAGAGGCACAATCCGTTACACTCCAGTCGTGTTAGACACTAGCATTTCTGAAGGCACATGCTGTGAAAAAAACATGTAAACTAAAAAGTTTGCTTTAGGAAAAATGACTTCAGATTTTTTTTTTTTACTCACAAATGACCCTTTCTAGGATGCATTTTGTCTTTGAAATATATAACACTGATAGGTTATATAGGTATATAACTCCTTAAAGTATGACTGGAGAGGAAGTTTCATTTTTTGAAGGCATAGCAATACTAGCACATATGCTAAGCTACTTTCCCCAAATTCTGACACTGACATTCTGGGTTTTCCTAAAGATGTAAGTTGTTTAAATTCTAATTTTAGTATGTTTGACATGCCCTCCCAGCGCCCCTGTCTATAAGGTAATGATTCTATTCAATGGGAATACTAAGATGCTCTCCAGTTTTGCCACTCTCATATCTTACATTTTTACTATCATTAGTGTTCTTCACAGAAAATCCCTTCAAGTAAGATGGAAAACACTCAGTACCTGAAACTTTTATTCTTATGTCACTGCTACTTCACTTTATGGGGACCAGGGACATTTGTACATCTTAAATATTCCCCCAAACATGTGGATCTGAGAAAAGCTTCTACATGATTATGATACCTGCACTTGATCCTCTGATCTACAGTGTGCCAAACAAGGAAGTCGGAAAAGTTGTGACTGAAGACCACAGCAGAGTCCCATTTAATTAAAAGCATTGATAATGAGAGGAAATTGAAGGACCAGAAAGCACACCACAGTTGCCACACTGATTTGTTTAAAGATTTTGGAAAAAAAATTAGTCAGAAGAGACAAAGAAAGTGACTTCTTTTCATTAAAGGAGTCGATCTATTTAAAGGAGATAACACTTTTAAATCCTGGGGCAACAAAGGCTGGTGTACCAAATTTCATAAAAGAAACACTTTGGACACAAAAGAACAAACGAATCTCAGAACACAAATGCATATTAGGAAGCCAAACCAAGTTTTGTCAGAAAGGAGTGAGGTGAAGCAGAGCAAGGGCGGATGAAGGGAGAGAGGAAGGGTGCGAGAATGCAGTCACAAAATTCATTGCACATATATGAAAATGGTACCAGGTAGCTTGAGGAGATCAGTGGGGCTGGGAAAGATGAGGGAGAAGTACGGAAAGGGGGACATTGATCATGAACTGACTTGCTGAACTGAAACCCCTTTGTACAACTACTTAAAGATAATTAAAAATAAGTAAATTAAATATATATAAACAAATTTCTAGAATTATAAAAATCAAAGAAATGCAAATAAATATACATACAAATGGGTCAGAGAATATTTCTTGTCAACTTCTTTCCCATAGTTTGAATTCTTTCTCAAGGTCTAGATTTAAAACTATGGTCTCAATATTTAAAAATAAATTGAATTCTACAAACAACCAAAAAATAGAAGACAAAAAAATTTACAGTGTGGGGCTGGGAAGGTGGCTCAGTGGTAGAGTGCTTGCCTTGCATGCTCGAGGCCCTGGGTTCGATTCCTCAGCACCACATAAGCAAAAAGAAAAAAGCCGGAAGTGGTGCTGTGGCTCAAGTGGTAGAGCGCTAGCCTTGAGCTGAAGAGCTGAGGGACAGTGCCCAGGCCCAGAGTTCAGGCCCCACTACCGGACCCCAAAAAAAAAAATTACATATCTAATAATGAATAAGATTTTTAAAATGTAAGACAAAAGCAAAACAATTGCAGTGGTTCTGTGGTTCCATTTTCATAGAAGGGGGAGTGGGGATGAGGAGAGTGGTGTGCGTGGGGCGGGGCAGGGGGAGTCTAATAAGATACATTCTAAGCAAACTTGGAAATGTCATAACAATGCCTGGGCTTCCCTCTGGCAGGGCTGCATTGGTTAGGATCAGAACAGTCGCAAAAGGGAGCTCTTGCTGCTCTGTGCTGGGAATTAAGTATCCTAATGGGAATTGATAAACTGAACACGATCTACTGTCACCAAAGACCCAAGTGTCTAAGTCACGGGATGTTACTTTCTACTCTCACAGGGACCTGGAAGGCCCTCATAAAGGAGACAGACATTTTCCACACGTACAGCCAGTGTTCCCAGAATTGTGGGACATGACATCCATTCTCCTTTTGAGTGAGACGGTGCCCGGAGGCTTCCATAAACTTGCTCCTTTCTCTCACATAAGGAGAAAGTCGTGGAGATATTGTTGAATAAACTCCATGACAGGATACCCAGGGTTGCTGCTCCTCTAGCCTGTCAGAGATAGATCTGTGCTTATTGTTGTTACGTCATTCATCATCATCAAAAATAAAAGCCCTCGGGCACCTCAGGACAGAAAAGAAGAAGGCTTCAGAATTTCAGCAACAGCGAGCCTCCCACAAGAACAAAGGTGAGCGTCCAAGCATCTTTGCCTTGATCATTTTCCTTCAAAAACCAAAGTTTATATAAGCTATACTTTCCAGAGAAGGCCGCTAACTTCTTGTTCTTTTTCATTCTAACCCTTAGTGAAAACTAAGAATCAGGAAAGAGTGAAGCTCAGAGACCTGGGGCACGGTATCCGCACTCTCTCTGGATAGAGACCCCAGGCATAGGTGGGAGGAGTAAATGGGGATTCCTCAAGAACCCACATGGAACCCACATTGACTAAGGGTGGGGATCAGCAACTCCAGCCCTTCCACTGGGGACAAAACAGAGTCCATGGTCAATGTCCCCTTCAACTGCTCCTCCAGATCCCATCTGTGAAGCAAATGGCTGCGGGAAATTATTCTTCCGTGACAGAGTTTATTCTTGTGGGGCTGACGGACCGACCCAGGCTCCAGCTGCCCCTATTCTCCTTATTCTTGCTGAACTATATAGTAACTGTGGTGGGAAACTTGAGCTTGTTGAGTCTAATTTGCCTGAACTCACACCTTCACAACCCCATGTACTTCTTCCTCTTTAATCTGTCCTGCATTGATTTCTGTTACTCATTTGTCTTCACCCCCAAAATGCTGATGGGCTTCATGACCGTGAGGAACACCATCTCCTATGCTGGGTGCATGACACAGCTGTTCTTCTTCTGCTTTTTTGTCAATTCGGAGTGCTACGTGCTGACAGCCATGGCCTATGACCGCTACGTGGCCATCTGCCAGCCCCTGCAGTATGCTGTCCGCATGTCCCCTAGGACCTGTTCTCTGCTGATGGCGGGTTCACACCTGCTGGGGTTAGCTGGTGCCGTGGCACACACGGGGTGCATGGTCAGGCTCAGCTTTTGTGATGCCAGCATCATCAACCACTACATGTGTGACATCTTCCCCCTGCTCCGGCTCTCCTGCAGCAGCACCTACGTCAACGAGCTCATGACTTCTGTTGTTGTTGGTGCAATTGTCATTCTATCCAGTCTCGTGATCTTGATCTCATACGCCTTGATTCTCTTTAATGTTATTAACATGTCGTCAGGCAAGGGCTGGTCCAAAGCAATGGGCACCTGTGGCTCTCACATTGTAACGGTGGGCCTCTTCTATGGCTCCGGAATCCTCACTTACATTAGACCAACATCTACCGAGTCCGTGGGCCAAGGGAAATTTTTCTCCGTGTTTCACACCCTTGTGGTACCCATGTTGAACCCCCTCATTTATAGCCTGAGGAACAAGGATGTCAAACTCGCTCTGATGAGAACCCTGAGGAAAATCACAGAGTGAGTGAAGAGCAGAGCGGCCTCCAACGAGTCTCCCATGTTCAGGCCTTTTCTTCTCGCCTCCCAGACTCCTCTTCAACATGTCTTTTCTTTTCTGTTCTGTTCTTTTCCACGCTCTGGTAGTATTTCAACTGTGACATCTTTTGACTTCTTGCCATTCAATGGAGATGTACAAGACTATGGTTGGTCTTAAGATTCAGTCTCAGTCTCAATTGGCTCTAACCCAATCTTTACTCTATCCTCTGTACTTGATGGAGAGCTTAGAAAGAAATCTTTTCATCTCTGCAGGTAACACAAGCTGCCTTTTCTTTGTTTGTTTCCTTCATTCAATGCAAGACAAGGAGGTGAGTACTTTTGGATAAGTTCATATTTTTCTTGCTTTTCCAAAATAACTTTATGAACTTGATTTCAGGCGTTTTATTTTTAAAACTGCCACGAAACAAGAAAAAGCCAAGTAGGTTGTGTAATGTTGGTATCATTTTCATACTGAATATATTTTGTGCAAATCCCATGTAAGGCAGGAGCACACGTGAGAGGGAAGGGCGGTGGTGTGCAGGCGGAGACTGCAGAGGGCCACTGAGTGGTCCCAGACCATGGCCAGCACGGAGCATTCAGAAACAAGAGAGAAAAGGCATTGAGCCGGTCATACATCCCACATCAGTCATACATCCCACAGCAGAGATGACTTTCTTTCTTAGTACAAAAAAAGAAAAGAATGTGTATAATCAGAATAGAGCAACAGATACCTAATTAAAGAGGAAAAATTGCACAGTGGTAGGAAGGTATAAATTCAGTGTAATTAGGATTATCAAAGCTAAATTTCCCTAGGAACTAAATATATTATACCTGTCTCTATCTTTATCTGTATTACCAGAACAGAAAGAACAGGAGTTGGCAGATCAGATCAGTCTGCTTCACCTACCAGAATGAATTCAGTCACAAAAAGACCCATCTTTTTGTAAGAGAATGTTGTGGACACAGAAAAAAGAGTAACATGAGAGAGCAGACTTTCTAAAAGATATATAACCTCCAAGTGTGAGGTCCATTCTGCCAATGTCTGATCCATCGAGTCCATAGACCAATTTTAACACTAGAGGGCAGGCTTGCTTCCAGATTGTGAATTTTGGTAAGTGAATTAATTTAAGCAGGTACAGTTATGACATTAAACACCAATTAATGCGCTTGTTTCTCAAATGACAAGGGCGCCACTTATGCTTTTATTTTCAATTAATTTTTGTATGTTTGGGACTGGCAGGGGATATTAATGTACATATATATAAAAATGATTATATATATATATATTCCATATATATATTCCATATATATATTCCAAGGAAATATAGTCTACAATCATTTATTCAGATCTGGTGCTGAGTCAAACAAACACATAGGAAGCTAAGAGAGTCTGAAGGAAGTTAGAAGAAATCTTGGACATAAAACTATCTTCTTCAGGAATGTAGTGAGCTGCTATGTTCTGGACATTGTGATAACAGTTGAGGCTCAAACATGTGTGAAGTCAGATCAGCACGGGCTGCATATCAGGCATCCTGGCACTTAATATTCTGTGTCTATTTATTTCTGAAGCTAGGAGGAGGGTACAGAATCAGAGGGAGACAGGGGAAAATATACAACAGAGGGGCCCGTCAACTGCTGAACATTGATGAAAATGAACTAAGCAAATCCAGGGCAGCAATGAGAAGGAGGGAATGAGAGGGAAAAAGGGAACAGCTGACACTAAGCAAAAGGAAAGAAATGTACATATTACTGGATGTGGAAGAAATAGTTGCATTGTCAAAGCTCATAGAAATCACAAACTTTAGAGACCATGATAAGGACAATTTGCCTTGTGAAGGTTAAAATGTGTTCGTGACTATCCCACCATACTGTGAAATTTGTGAAATTTATGTAATCATTTAATCTCAATAAAAAATTATAAAAAATAGTCCTTTTCCCTTCCATAATGGAAATCTTGACCTATTTCTCTTTGGTGTCTCCAAGGACTCATCAGAAGACCCGATTAGTTAGGTACTTCACCATATTTGAGTAAATAAATGAAAAGATCAATGAATCAGGGAGTTAGAAAAATCTGTTTTTATAATTTGATAGAAGGACATTGAACCAAGATCCAGGTGAACAGAAGTAAAGATAGGGATTTGTGTGGGGGAGAAGAAAGGCAAAGGAAGACACCAGCTGTGGCCGTAACTGCCACCAGTTGTCTAGTCTGTTTTGGAAAAAAAAGGCACAAAGAAGCCAGAAAGGGTAAGGAAAAACAAGTAACTCATTCAAATGTCCCACATCTGTAAATAGAATGGAAAAACAGCAAAACAGGAAGTACTTCAGAAATGTAAGCAAATACTTACATTGTTACCTTACTGGAAAACCGCATGCTCTCCATCAATCAAGTGAAGAGTAATTAAAAGGAAACAATGACAACTGGAAAGAGCAAGCCCAAGACCCAGCTTCTAGTCACTACAGCCTCCCTGTTGCTTAACATGAATTCAGAAAAACACTCCATCATTCCAAGGAAAATTTCTATCATAGCTTAAAGGCAATGAGAGGTCAAGCAAATCAATATTTTAATTAGTCAATGCTTTTAAACTTTAAATAAACTCTGTACACATCTGAGAGAATGTTCTGTCCAGAGTTTTCATAGCAATGAGGTACATGTAAGAAGTGTGTGTGCCGCGGTGTGACTGTGGTCTGTTAAGCACAGTGTGGTCACCGTGCCCTTTATCCTCTCTAAACTCTGACTGTTGAGACTTTTAGAAGCGGATCTCCACAGCGGCTGTGCTGGTATTCTCATCCACAGTGTGTAAGGGTTCTTCACCAGAGTTATTTGTTATCTGTATGTCTGACATTCTAACAGGACAATTATAACAATAATCAAGATTGTTTTGATTTGCAGTCACTTTATAGCTAAAAATGTTATACATGTTTTCATGGGCTTATTATCCCTTGTACCTATTTTGAGAGCTGTTTAGTTTTTTTTGAGTTCTTTATATATCCTGGATATGAATCCCTTATCTAATGAATAACTGGACAAGAATTCCTCCCTATCTGTGTGTTGCCTCTTAATTCTGGACATTGTTTGAGTGCAGAAGCCTTTGAATTTGGTGCAATCCCCTTGATTACTCTGTGTTATTTCCTGAACTCTATTCCAGAAGTCTTATTTGGAAAGTTGCTGCATGTGCCTATACTTCCCAGTGTTTGGCCCCTCTTCCCCCTGAAGACACCTTTCGCTAGAGAGTTCTGCATTGCTATTCACACTGTCAGCTATTTGTGATGTCACCTCCTCTGGCTGATAGACCACAGCTGGAGTCCCTCATGTCCCAAAGGCTTCACCTCTGCTTCCCCTATCTATCCTCTTCCCTTCTCTGGACCAAAGTTGAATAAAGCATAGTAATAACTTATGCTGAATAATGCTTTATGTTCCAAGATCTTATAAGAATCTGAAAGAGGTGACACTATTGAAATGTACACATTACCTGACTTATGTAACCATGACCCCTCTGTACATCACTTTTAAATAACAATACAAATATTTCTCAGTGAATATTCACATTATCTTTCATTTTGTGTGCTGTAATAATTGAACAATTATCCCTCTGCCAGTAAATTAAAATAAATTATACTCTTAATAAAAATCTGAAAGAAGCCAGGTGCTGGTTGCTCAGGCCTGTAATCCTTGCCACTCAAAGGCTAAGAACTAAGGATCATAGTTTGAAGCAAGCCTGGGCAGAAAAGTCCCCATCAGACTCCAATTAACCACTCAAAAACCATAAGTGGTATTGTGGCTCCAGTTGTAGAGCATTAGCGTTGAGCAAAAAGAGGCTCAGGGACAGCACCTAGGCCCTGAGTTCAAGCCTCACAGCTGACAGAAAAAAAAAATCTGAAAGAAACTAACACAAAACCCTTCCCGCCAGGGCTGGGATGTAGCTCAGTGGCAAAGCGCTTGCCTAGCAAGTGCAACGTCCTGGGTTCGATCCCCAGTACCAAAAAAGAAAAAACAAAAAAAATACGGTTTAAAAAAAAACCCAAACAACAACAACAAAAAACCCTTCAGGTCAATAAAATCACATTGTACTCTAATTCCATTGACTAATCAGTAGGTCAATGCTCCAGAAAGGCTGAGTCTTTTTCTTCTGGAGGACTTGTAGCAATCTGGATGATCACTAAAGGTGAAAGTAAAAACCTTTCTGGATAAATATTAACTCTCATAATGTATATGGCTAGCCCTATTTCCTCTAGAAGGCCTAGCCGAATGGGCTCATTGTGAACTCTGTCTTATTTACCATTGGTGTTTATTTTTTGAGTCACAGTGTATGTTTCTTCATAGGACAGGGCAG